ATGTGACACACACTATTTTTCTTATGTTCATTTGCTGCCTCATTTGTGTCAGTTTGTGTGAGAAACAGTGTTATGTTCAAAGTCTGAGGATACAGAATATCAAATGGTTATATATGTTCCAAATAGAAAATAAGACAGTGCTGTTCATTCCTAGTTATATTTTATCATTTTCTGTTTAAACTATAACTAAGACCTGTACTTATCCGGAGTGTTTAGATTTTTTCTTTTTTTTTTTTCTTTTCTTTTTTTTTTGTCTCTGATATAGGATTTTTAATTAACTCCAAGAAAAAAAAATGTATTTCAAAGCAATTCTAACAATTTCGCTCATAATTATCAGTGTGTTTCAGATGTCATTATGTTTATTTTAAATAAATAAGAAGGTTAGTGAGCATTCAGGGCTCATGTTTCCGCTTGGCTTTCTAATATTGCTTTCTTTAAGAAAGTGAAGAAATTTTGCTACAGTCCATGATGTAATTCTACATGACAAGATACAATATAGAAAAACATTATTGATAAGGCTAAGTGTCCACTTTAAAAAAAAAAAGTAGATGTGCTGCATGTGTGTCCATTTCAGAGTGTACATGGTACAGTGCCATGTAATACTTCATGCTTATTAGATGAAGCCCATCCTGCACTTAAGCCCCCAGTTTATTGTATGTGAGTAGGAAAGAGGCAGAAGCCAGTAATAAGTTCACTGCTGTACAGGAGGTCTGCAGAAGTCTTTGCCAAGTGAAGTTGTCCTCGGCTTTATCTTCCCTACTATGAGTGTGTCCTATATTGACATGTTATTTTACTCCAGATAAGATATTTGGAAAAGCTAGAATACCCACAGGCAGGGGAAAAAAAAGTTCGTGTTCCTAGTAGTGGTTGCTTTTCAGTTGAAATAGGTGAGAGCTGGATCATTTCTTCAGAACTTACTTACAAGTTATGAAGATTTATTCCAGATAGATACACAATACTTTTACCCTTTAAATCTGTGGTTTATTTTGCATTCAGTTGCAAACTGTGTTGAAGCTTGACTCTGGCCTATATTTGTCCCTAGTTCACAGTAAGTGTGATGCTTTGATGCATAGTTTTTCTCTTTTTTTTATATTTCAGGCTTATGGAACATGTTCCTAGCACCCCTTGACCCCTGTAATGAAAAATTAGGAGTGTGACTGGAAAGGATGGAAGTTTATCTTGCCCTTTCTACTCCTAAAATTGATCAAGAGATGGACAATGCTTTACCTGTTTCACTTTTATAACAGCAGTGGTGCTTTTTAAAAAGGAGGAAAAAGATCACGAGGATTACTTGGATATCCAGGCTTCTCCAAAAGCTTCTCCGAAATTTAGCCATTTGAATATATGTAGCTGATGTTTACACTATTCAATAACCTCTATGTCATCTTTTCAGCTCTTTAACCTCTGCCTTAGGAGAGTGGAAATAATTTTCAGAGTTTTCTATCAGTAGATTGATGTTTACCCAAGCAAGAGGTAGCCAATATAATAAGTAATATAATAAATCAATGCTCCCAGCACAGTTGCTCAGCAGAGTGTCTGCAACCTGAGGAATAGCACTGTGAAACTTGTGTTTTCACTTCTCTCAGCAAAGAGAATGAAGATGGAACCAACATGGCAAATGTGCTGTGTGTCTTTATTCAAGATGTGCTAAGGCAATTTTTTTTGTAGGTGGACAGGGGAAATCTGCAGCTACTTGACGTGCTGCTAATCCTATTCTGTGACAGAGCTAATCAGCTTCTTTCATAGGCTAAATAATGATTAAAAAAAAGAGTTCATGGCTGGGTGAAATTTAGCACAATTGCACAAAAAGTACAATGCTAATGATGAACTTACAAGGACTGTTCAACATTTTGTATGTATAGAGCTGACTGAAAAAATAAATTTCATATTTACGGATGTATATTTGTACTTATATATATACACATGTAAATGTATGCTTTTACATTTATTTATTTATTTAATGTAATCATGTAGAAATATTTTTAATGTCTTTTTTTTTAAAAAAAGGTAATGCCTCTGAGTAATAGCTCTGTAGATCTGAAACAAGTCCTGTTTTGCACAGAAATTCTTTTTGAAGATGTATCCTTAAGTTAGGCAGGAGTCTCGATGTGATAATGGCATCCACACAATTTCTGCAGAGAGATAATTATTTTCTATCTCCGTCTATTCATACTGCATGAAAACACAGAGAATAGCTCTTGCTGCACCGGATATGCCTTTTTGTTACCTGTTTTTTAGTAAAACTGGTTAATATATCTTAAGGTTTAGGGAATAAAAAAGTTAACTCTCAGTCTGGCTGATGACATTTTATAGGAGAAAAAAAACCTCACATTACTTGTATGTGTTGACAGTTTAACAATTTGAATTGAGCTTGAGTTGTATGCTATTTATACAAATAGGTTTTAGACTTATTTTAAGCTTGGCCAGACTTTTGTAATATTAGATATGCATCTGCATTTTATGTATTATGTGTGCATAAAAATATTGAAAGAAAAAAAAAGCCGACCAACTAAATAGCTGTAATACAGTGTTTCTTTGTTCTAGCTGCTCGTTACTGGGAAAAGACTGCTTTCTATTAAAACAAAAAAAAAAGGAAAAGAAAATGTGTAAAAATAGCGTCAGTTGAAATCTTTTGCAAGTTCATCTTGTTCAGGATGTACATTCGTGAAATTATTCCTGATATTTCATCAAGTGTAGCTGTCAAAAAAAAATGTGACAATACATGAAGTTGTAAAACCGGTGTATAGACTTCTCCGTACATGTTGTACATATTTAAATGACCCATGGGTCTCCCAAAGCAAGCTTTTAACATTCCAGGTCTTTTACCATGCATCTGCTACTGGCATGTTGCCACCCGCCCACACAGATTTAGTGGAAATAAATTAAATTTATTCTAGTTCACTCAAATACAAAGGTCTATAAAATATAAAGGTAGTCACTTTGTTAGTAAGGTTACTTAAACAAAGGGTTTTCATAAATAGAAGTTTTTTTTCCTTCTGTAGGATAATATGCACATTTATGTAGCTTCTTAAGTTCTTACATGTTCCTTTTGTTTTCCTTTGCAGATGGGGTTTATACAGATTAATGAGGACTTCATATTTATTGAGCCACTCAATCGCACTTTGGCTGTGACAGGTCATGCACACAGGGTGTACAGACGAAAAAGGTCCATAGAGGAGAAAATTGCTGAAAAGACAGCTTCTCAAAATCATTACTGTGGTGTTGTTACAGGTAATATACAAATCTCACTGAACAGATTTAATATAGCTGATGTATTTATAAGGGATGTAGAAAGTAGTTTAAAAACAATGCCCCAACATGAGCCTATCTAGTTTTTTTTTTTTCTTTTGTAGTGTCAGAGGTGGAAATGGTATTCCAAGACTGGACAGTTCCTTTTCTGACAAGTTAAGTAGCACTGAGGAATAAATGCTGCTTCTTAAATGAGCAGTCTCTTAAAAAGTAGAATTTTGGGGCCTTTTTTTTTAAAAACTTTAACCTAACAATTACTATGTTTTCTTGTCCCTTTTTATTGTCCTGGTACTTTGTTAATTTAGTTACTGTACTTCTCAAAGCACATCTCAAAGCCATAGTCACTTTCAACTGGGAGTGACGCTATGAATGTAAATGGTCTTTAAAACAGTGTTCTTGTTTTATGATTGACACTTAAAAGAACTGTGAGAAATAATCCAAAAGCATCTTCCTCAATGATGAGTTGCAAAATCTATATAATTAGAAGAGCTTCAGGAAAAAAATAGGCACCTACTGGTTTGTTAGATTATTAATGTTCGACAGAGGTTCAGAAAGAAAGACTTTTGTGAAAGATGACAGTCTGTTGTTGCTGTTTCATGAGCAGCTTCTCTTCCTCTAAGTGTCTTCTCACATCTGAGTGTCTTGCTCTCAGTTTAAGCTGATATGCTGAGGCTGCTTTTAATGCTGTTGCAAAAAATGTGTTTTCTCCAGGAGCTAAATTAGTTTTTTTTTTTTAATCAATATTTTTTCACATCTCTTAGCATATTAGAAGAGAGATACTGGTAGACTGGAAGGAAAGAGCAGAGGGAGCCACCAGAGTGGCTAGGGAGCATTATTATACAGCATTTGGGGAGAGGGAGAAGGAACCGGTTTATTTACATGAGTGCAGGAAGGGCAAAGAGGACTACAAATGCAGTCTTCCAGTGTGGTAAGGGATTGTAGAGAGAAGACTGAGACAGACTTTTTTGAGAGGCCCACATTTACAGGATAAAAGGCAGCAGCTGTAACTTGCCTCATGGGAAATTTCAGCTGGGCATAAGGAAAAAAAAATCATAGTGAGAGTGATCAAGCACCAGAACAAGCTGCCTACAGTGGCTCTGGCGTCTCCATCCATAGAAACTCACAGAACGTGGCTGGACACAGCCTTGGGAGACCTGCCCTAGCTTCGATGTTAGCCCTGATTTGAGCAGGAGGTTGGCTTGGATGGCCTGCAGGGGTCCCTTCCAGCCTAAATTAATCTTTGGTTCTGTGGTTCTTCTTGAACAGTTTTACTGCTCTGTCACATTTTTATGGTCACAGGAGTGACTTTTTTTTCCCCCTCTTTATGGGAGTATTGTTTTTGTGTGGTTTTATTTATTTGTTTATTCTTAGAATTAGACTTCCATTCACAGGTTGAAGTTGCAAAGTGATTCACAGGTGAATTAGCATGGAAAGACTCTTTCTTTGTGTAATTTGCTTAGTCCCTTTTAGTACCTATAACTTCCTCCAGCAGTCTCGGTATTTCTCTTCTAGGCGTTGCTGCTGCTTATTTAAAGAAGTATTCTATATCAGCAAAAATCATTTACTTATAATAAAGCTGGTTACTCCTCCTCAGTTAACAATGATAAACGGATTGCAGCAGGCATGCCTGCATGTGTTTTGGGGGTGAAAGAAAGAGAAAAAAAGAAAAGATGAAGGAAGAGAGAGGCACCTGGTAAATAGCAGTCCATGATATGTTTGAAAATGATTAAAGATTCAAACTTTTGTGTAAGGACATAATTTCCTGTCGTGTTCATTACATGTCACCCTTTCACTTTCTCTTGTTCTTTCAGATGGAGTAGTCAGCTTACTCTGTTCTAATAATCTTATGCCCAAGGCTCTGACTTGGTGCAAATAGCCTGTCAACAGAGATTCAATCATTTGTTTGAAATAAATTTCATTATCTTTGCCGCCATCCTGGAATTTGAGGATACAAAGTAATAAAATAACTGTGCATAATTGCATCTGCTGGCAAAACTGTGTTGCCAGAAGAGAGTGTATATCTGCGATCCCTAACTTATGCTGTTGTGCTTCCTCACTTTACCCTGGCAGGTTATTTTACTTAATGGGACTGGAATATATTAGTTTTATATATATATTTGTGAAAAGCACTGAGCTAGTGTCAACAAAACATTTGTGATGCAGGCGCAACCTTAAAGGTGGGTAGAAACAATAAAAAAGACTTTCTAGCAGTAACTGAGACTTCTAAGTCAAATCCCAAGCAGGGTCAATTAATCAAGCAGCTCTAAAGCAAATTGAATATGGTGCTCTTCAATATTGTCAAATTTTGCACTGCTGTTGTTGATAGAGTTATGACCATGTGACACTGAGAAATTACTGTCTTGGCACTTCTCAGCAATATGGTCCTGTCTTACAATAGGACCTCTTTCTTCTATAGTACTCATGTACATCAGAATAGGCATTTGGGGGCAGGTATTTCTGCTGCTGGTTTTCAGCCAAATTGATCTCAAAGACTGGCTATATATCAAGCAAATGAAGCAAATGTGTGTTGCCAGTGATGAATTATAATTATTAGAAGGAATGAATGTCTGTGCTAGAGGTGCTGAAGGATCACTGTTGGAACTAATAGCTTTGCATGCAGAACTAGAAGAGACGATCAAAGAAGGTATTGTTTGATGTCCATGGCTGTTGTGGGTTGGATTGAAGGATGCTGCACAGCTAGGCTCATTTGGGGAGAACAAAGAACCTGTTTTCTGTGATTTTTTTTTTCTTCTTTTCCTAGTAATGGGTGGGGGTGGGGGGAGTCCCACTGAGGGAAACAGATGCTTTCTGGATATATGGAAGTGATGTGTGTGAGAGATAAATAGATTTATGTGTGTGAGCTGGTGACACATACACAGACCTCACACCTCACACCTTTCTTAGCACATGGCCCATGAAACCTTCCAAAGAAAGCACTTCACAAGTCTGTTAGAGAGTAAACACCAGCGAGATTCTTGTTGTTAGAGCGAAGACCCAGATTGCAAAACTGAACTCTTTTCCACTGCCTTATCTGAGGGCCTGCCTGCAGGCTGGAGTTATCCACACTTTGGACCAGCCCTGTAGTAGCGTACAGGGTACTTGGTGATTCCTCTGCGATTGGGCTAGTGAGTAAAAGCTCACGTCCACAGTGCAGTGGATCTGGATTTCTGAGGGACCTGTTCATAAAAGAACTGTGAATTCCTTGTGGCTGGGGTATCTGTGTGTTTTATCCCCTATGGAAATAAACATTGGTGATGTGCTCGGAGATCTGGGCTTCACTGGCGGTACAGGGGATTTATTCAAGGGCAGGTAAGCATTCAGGTGTCCTGTAGTCTTAGTCTCTTTGGAGTGTTGGCTCAGAGATTTGAAGCAGTTTGTTTTTCTAGTAGCTGAATTTTCAGCTCCTTAAGAGGAAACTTTGTAACTTTATTTTATTTTATTTTATTTTATTTTATTTTATTTTATTTTATCTCATTTTGTCTCATTTTGTCTCATTTTGTCTCACTTTATTTGTTAGTCTACCATTATTTTCTCTTTTATTTTTCCTTTTGTATGTTAAACTTGTGTATTGCCTCTTCTGGGGCAGGTATAATTGGGTACCTCAATTAAAAGGAGTGGATAGTTGGGCTGAGATACGATCAGCATGCTGAGGAACTCATATAGCAATTACTCCTAAGCGGTCTGCTGAAAAAACATCATAGAGTGAAGCACAAAGGTTTTTATTATTGTTTATTTTAAGCAAGAGCATTTCTAGCCTTCATTTCTGTCACAAGTAGAGAGTCTGAGTAATAAATGGATATGATTTGTTTGTATTTTCTGAGTCTTGCTGCACAGAATCCTCCTATATTATTAACTTTTACTTTGCCATTGTAATTAAGTTTTTAAACTGAACTTAGATATCTTTAATTCCAACAATCAACTTTGTAATTTGATCTCACTTTTATGTTGGTAGCACATGCGTGACTTATAGAGGTATACTTTTTGCAGGCAGTATTGTTTCATATGCCCTGTACCTTCAATAGTGAGAAGTTCTTTGTAATTTTGCCTAATTATGAAATGTAACATTGCATGTATTTTGGCCTCACACCTGTTATGTAGCAGTAAACTCGTCACTGACTCGAATGCCAGTGGTGTCAAAATTACTAATGCCATTTATTTAAAGGTCTTAGGGAAGAGCTGCAATTTTCAGATAAATGAGCTTGCACGTGATGGGGACTCTTGCCAGCAATTTGGAAAAGGTTGACTGGCCAAGAACAAACTGTCCCCCAGCTTGTTAGCCCGGGAGAGGTCTGAGGCAAATGATGTGCCCAGCTGGTCTACAGAGCACTGCAGGCTTCTCATCCCCCTCAATCCTGAAGACTGGTTTTGAGACTGTGGTGATTTAAATGTTTAGCCTAATGCTGTGTTTTATTGTGCACTACTTACTTACTGTCAGTTGTGGACAAAATCATACAGCTAGTTAAAGCTTTGAGAGAAGCATGCTAGCAGACTTTTTTTTTTCTTCCTGAACAGTCCTGCTACTATTAAATTAAATGTTTCTAACCAATAGCTGCTGTTTGCAAGAAAGGAGCAAACAATGAATAAACTGAGTTGCTGGAAACTTCACTGGAATCAATCACCACTCCTCAGAGGATGGGGGGTTGACCAGATGGCTCATGAGAGATCTTTCCTAACCCAAATGAGTTTACTATTTAAACTTAGAGCTGTAGTGTACTCTTTCAGCATTGAATGCTTGTGTGGTAAGTCATAGTTGTATGGCTTGTAGGGTGTGTTTTTGGCGCAAATCTGGACACTAAAGTTTCCTTAAAAATGATTCTCAGAAGAATGACAAAATACACCTTACGTTTCAGAAAGTTTAGTTTGTTTTAGGGAAAGCAAGTGTGTGAAGGATCAAAACAAGAACCAGTATTTCATGTTACATAGTGTAGGCATTTGTCAGTTATTTATATTCTATGCTAACAGTCACTACATACACAGGGTTTGATTTTGTTTGGCTTCTTTTGGCTGCGTATAATGCAAACACCACTGACATTGAAATCCTGATGGTAAAACGTACCTTTTTTTCCCCACAAACTTGTATGCTACATGTAGTTCTTTACATTATTCATCTGAAATAGTCTTATCTTTCCTCTGTACAAATCAGTTAATTGTTCCATGTAGTTTCTGGATGCTGAAATCATGTTGAAACCAAATTTGTTGTCTTTTATGTTAAGAGGCAATGATTGCCTTGATGTGTTTTTCTATGTTTTCTTAAGATGGACAGATAGTATTTCTGCAGTCTCAGTGAGACTATTTTTGTGTCAAACCTAATATTAGTTTAGTCTTCTCCCTCAAGCCAAAACAGGAGGCATTGCTCATTTATGGATATGCCAAGTGAAAAAGATGAGAATAATCTGACTGGCTGTATTTAAGCAGATGGGTAAGATTCCTGCTTCACTGGTATGAACTAAAATTTGCACATAGTCTAGACCTTCCATTGAGCTTAATTGCATTGGCAATGTGAAATAAGTATTTATCAGAGTTTGTGGTTATTACATTCTGTGTAATCAATTATGTCATGTTCATGGAAAGCAAATCCTATAAGTATCAGAGCAACCTTGTGTCAAGCCAATACTGTGAAGGGTGTGTCCATCAAGTATTTTTTTTGTGTGTGTGTGTTACAGATAAAAGAAAATCCAAGAATCAAAAAACATCAGAGAGTGGAAGAGGAAAAAGATACTCTTACAAATTACCTCAAGAGTACAATATAGAAACTGTTGTGGTCGCAGATCCAGCTATGGTTTCGTATCATGGGACAGAAGCTGCCAGACGATTTATTCTAACTATTTTAAACATGGTAGGAAATTTAAAATTCATTTTGGCAAATGTGCATGCACTGTGGACTGATTTCATAGCTTTTAATTATTTTGACTGAGCATCTGCAAGGGGTCCGTTGGTGAATATCAGCAGGCTGTCAGGGTTTAGCCTATACATCTTGAAGTGCAAAAACTATGATGCTGCGGACTGGTCTATGTCATCTGGTGTAGTATCTTCAGTAGTAATGCAGGGAAGTGGGAGATAACCAAGGTAATTTTTAGAAACCTTTTAGAAACTATTTTTGCTTGTTTGAAAAGTATTGAATGAATTGTTATAATCCATGCTTGTTTTGAAGAGGTGACAGTGTCAGTCAAAAGATGTGTGATCATCATAGTGGCCAAAGGAGAAAAGGGTAGCCTACTTACATAGATAGGGGATTACACCCCCTCCCAGCTGTGAATGGGGCAGTGGTACACTCTTTTGGTGCATGCAGTAGTATAAAGTAAGACTATGATACACAAGGAAAGTAATTCAGCAGAGAAGAAACATGCAAAGAAGAAGAAGTGAAAACTTCTGCATGTGATTTACTGCGTGTGAGTTATGGCCATGTTCTGCCTTGGGCCATGATTCTGCATTTAACAGAGCAAAAATTTTAATGTGAACAGTGTTACATCCATGTATAATTGTTTAGAAAAACAGGCTACAGTTTATAAAGTGATCATAGTTCATTAGAGTCCTTTTGTATACCAGACCAAATATTACGTAAGCTCTATTATTTTCCTTCAGAAGACCAGCACGATATAAGAGCCTTCAGGTGGTTATAGGTTCATTTCAAATAATGCAAAACTAAAGCAGTCATGCCAAAATATCATAAAGCTGTGAGGTTCTTTGGATTGTGAATTTTGATATTATTAGTCTACAGTGCTGTACTGTATGCAATACAAGCACGTGTTTATATTTGTGTTTTGTTTTAGGTTTTTAACCTTTTCCAGCACAAGAGCCTTGGACTGCAGGTGAATCTTCGGGTGACTAAGCTTGTCCTGCTTCATGAGACACCAGTAAGAACCTACTGCCTTTGCCTTAGCCTGTAGAGGGCAATGCCACTTTGTTTGCTGCCCACGAAGGCATGCAATATTCCATCACTTTCAAGGCTGACATTTTTTCTTAGTTAGCTTCTTTATTTACAATGATAAATAAATCCCCAGTAAAGACTAAGCTTTTCCTAGTCAAATTGCTGCACGTACCGAGATTATTCTGTGCTGGCAGCTGAAAGTCAGTCAAGAGATAAAAAGCAATGATCTATTTCTCCATGCAGATTTGCTAGATCTTCTTTAAACAAACAAACAAACAAAACTCCATTAGATAAAAAATACTGTGACATAGCATTATTCTTGCATTGCAAAAGTTTCAGGCAGCATTTCAAATCCTGTTCTTTTTGCTTTCTGAAGACAGATGAGTCCAGCAGATGTCTTGAATGACATTTTGTAGTGATGTATAATTTGCATGTAGTATTTCAGCACACTATAATACCATTTCTTGTTGTTTCTATAAAACATTGTAGACCACATTTTAGTTGGCTATTGGGGGAAAAGTGTTGACCATGTTTCTAATAGTTTCTTTATTTCTTTTCTTTTTTTAAAAAAAATATCATGTCAGAAAGTATCTTTTATATTCAAATGGCTCTTCACATCATTTTTTTTTTTGCTCTATGGGTAGTGGAAGAAACAGCATGTTTAAGGAGAGTATATAAGAACTTAAGTGAATAGATCCACTGCATGCATCTGAATATAGTGTATTTATCAGCATTTTTGATGTACTTGATGTTCTTGATTTTATGTACAGAATCACAATTCTAGCAAAATCAATTGGTTTTTATTTCCAGGCAGACATGTATATTGGACATCATGGGGAAAAAATGCTGGAAAGTTTTTGCAAATGGCAACATGAAGAGTTTGGCAAGAAGAATGATATACACTTAGAAATGTCAACCAGCTGGGGAGAAGACATGTCTTCAGTTGATGCAGCTATACTTATCACAAGGTACAATACCTGGACATTAAAAATAGGCAATGAGAATGAGACAATTATAGAACAAGAATACCTCTAGTGTGTTATGAGATAATAGGTGACTAATAGGCGCCTATGTAGTATAGCTGACTATATCCTACAGTTTGGATATAGTTTGGCAATGGGAAGGAGTATAACCAGATTTTACCAGAATTCTAGGATGGAAGTTAATCTGAAGTCTTTTTAGAGAAGGAAGTGTTAAGAAAAAGAAAGTGGTAAAGAGAATGAATAATTCAGAAATAATAAATTCCAGATGGTAAATGCATGAAGTGATCATCCCTTGTCTCTTCTTTGGCTATGTAGCTGTAGATTACATGGCTCTTTGTATGTGTCTTCATTTAATAAAAGACAGCACACATACATAGATACTTTTAATTCAAAAGACAAAAGGATATTTAAACTTTTCACAACTTGTTTGACATGACTCTTGCATCACAACGTGCCATCACGACACACTTTTTTTTGGCCATAAAGTGAATGATACCACTTTACACTCCATAAGGACGATGGTCCTTGAGATGTGAGCTAGCAAATGCTAGCTGTTTGTCTTGAAACTAAGGTTTTGGTGACTGATATGTTTTCTTTTGTGCTCAAGCGATGAAATGGTGCATAGTGTATTCTCCACAGCTATAGTGGTTTCATCCTACATCTGTAGTCCCTTGTAGCACTAAATATGAAGCCATGCACATGTTTAGAAGGAAATATGCCTCCAGCTCACCTTTTTCCTTCCAAGCAGGTGCTATCACGATTTGGACTTGAAGTGGTGGCACAGGGGAAGGCATCTGGATGTTCAGTCAGCAACCAACCCATTACCCATATATGTGTAAGAGGAAAGGACAGAACTGCAGTCTAGGGTAGAGCTTAGTCCTGTTTTAAAGGAGAGTTCGGAGGAACCTTCCAACCAAAATTTCTGTGATTTCGTAATTTAGAATACCACTGTTAGTCAGTCACGTGGAGTCCTACAACCATGTGTAATATGCAAGATTATATTACAGTCTTATAATGTTTATTTGAGAACAATCTCACTTGCAGTTATATAAGTTTTGCAGTTAAAATTAGTTGTCATTCTAAATAATGCATTATTTATGATGTGCTTCAGCATTCTGAAGCAGAAAATTTTTTCCCTAAACTTCCCTGCTCATTCTTTGAGAAGATAAAAAGATAACAAACTCTGAAAAGCTAAACTGCTTTTCCCTGTTTTCCAGACCTTTGTCATATTATGGTAATTCTGAGGAAATCATATTTGAAGTGGGATATGCTGAAGTCCATACTATGTGCTTACAGCTTTTTTTGCTAATTCCACTGTTTAATCCCTTTGCTTTCCTTTGAAATGCTTACTTACATTTACATATTAGCTGAGCTGTAGTCCTTCACTCAAGTTCCTCTGAACTACATTGGTAGATAAAATTTATTATAATAACAAATTACGCTTCCGGTAGCAAATCATCAGGAAACCTCCTTGGAATGACAGAGTGCAAGGAGTTTATCACGTTAAGTCCTGGATGTCATGTTAACAGCAGTGAGTGTGTTGACAGGGGAAGACTGTAGATGGAGAAACAGAGGTGTGATCACTGGGAAAAAGTGAGTGGAGGCAAAGGACATAAAGAATTACTGGGTAGCATGGCACCAGGCTGATGAGCAAAATTAAAGAGTAGAGCTTGTTGTATCTAGCTTCAGTTGTGAATATCCAAGAATAAATGAATGACTAAGGTGTGTTTAATTTTTTTTTTTTATTGTGTGGATTGCTGAGTGACCTCTCACCCTGGTCCCCAAATCTGTGGAGACAATCAGCAAGGTCTTTGTTGAGAGCTGCTTGAGAGAGCTCTAAATCCTTCAGACTTGTATCTCAGGATTCCAGGAGAGTGAGATTTAACCTTTGATAGTTTCACAAGATTAGCCTTTCTTCACATGTAATCTCCAGCTCTGGTGTCTCAGTTTAAAGGGCATATTAGGAAAAGCCTTATGTTCTGGTGTGATATTGCAGGCAGAACTTCTTTGTCTTGTGAGGTAATGAGATAGAGTGAAAAAGCATGTAACACCTCTTTCCTCTGGTTTTCTGTCTTCTGCCTTAATGTCCTGAGTTCTAAATTGATGCAAGTGAAGTGTTAGTTAAAAAACTGGGTGACGGTAGTCTGGAAAAGTTTTTAGCAGCCTCTACATTCAGCCACAGAGCTTTCTGAATCTCAGGTAGCATTTCTAAGTGGCAAAAGGACTTCCAGATTTTGGAAAGCCTGCTCATACTTTTTGATGTGCTTTTCTGTTGTGTTTTCTAATTAATATTGCTATTATTGTTATTGTTATTATTATTAAAGTAAATGTACTGCTCATTTTCAAGGACATAGAGGTCTGGGGCAGGGATTCTCCCCAGCCAGAGGTCAGATAGCAACTCAGTGTTGAAATCAGAAATTTAAAATCTGTTCTTCTGACTTTTTTTTTTCCAGTGGTATTATTCTCTGGACTATACTGTCTTCCATCTCAGAGCTGGTTCAGCTGCTAATAAATCATACCGATGTGGTTTGCTGACTGTGGGAATGTTTTGCTAATCCAGGCACCCTCTGCACATCATCAGGTTTATGGTATAGCTAACCCCATGTGTGGCTACACTTGTATGTTTTGTTAATTCAGATAGTCTTGCTCTGTTTTACAAACACAGAGCAGGCTCCCTTGTCAAAACCTACAAACAGCTTTGGATAGCAGACCTGCTTTATGGAGAGAAATAATTTTGTTTAGACAGATGAACACCAACTGCTTGATATTTTTAAAGCAAAAATGTAAAGTTTTGATTATCCAACGCATTCTGTGGCAGGTCTCCTAAAACTTAGCCACTCCTTCTTTTTGGGTGGCATGACAATAGAGCAGCAAGAGTGCGTTGGAAAGGCTGTACCATGTCTTCTCATGCCAAAAGAGTTAAAAACAAGGTATTAAGTACCACTCTTCTTCTGAGCTCCTTTAATGACTAACTATAAAGAACAAGAAGTGCATGCAATAGCACTGTTATTCAACAATCAAAGAGCTGTCATAATTTTTTCATGAAAAAGGGTACTTTTCAGGACTATACAAACTTTTTATTTCACATTTTAAACTCATTATTATTTCACGGGAATGAATAAGTCAGCATAAAGGCAAATTAAACTAAAACCTCACAGCTTGAAGTAAGACTAAAGTCAAATTATCAAATGGATAGCATAGTCATGGGTAACACTACAGCCCATTTTGGCATCACAGAAAGTAAAACTTGGTGATGGGGTGGCAGGACTCTCAGCTTTATATATCAAATACAAAAATAATTTTGTACAGTGTGTTTAGAAAGGAGAATGTGAAAGCTAAGACAAAAATTGTTTTAGGACTTTTTAGGTAAAGCAACCTGATTCATAGTTATAATTTAGCACTATTGCTTTAGATATGGTTTGATTTGGAGGGGCCCTTTGAAGATCATCTGGCCCAAACATGGACCAAATATATTGGGAAGAATTTTCCTCTGTAGAAAAGTAAACTTTGATACATCAACAGTGCCTCCTTGCCTTTTTAAGTTGTAAAATGCAGCTGGACAGAGGTGAGCCCCAATTTTTGTGATTACTGAGACGATACTACTAGTTGCTGTACAGGAAGATATCTGCAAAGATTGTCTGGTCTGAGTAGTGTAACAGAAAGTAAGGCAGAGAAGGCCCATGGCCACTACTGTCTGTTCATATATGTGAGTTCTTACATGACTCCTGTTGTAGTCAAGACAGTCAAGCCTTCTCAGTATAGGAAAAAAAAAAAAGATATGAGCGTGATGCAGAACCTAACTTCGCTTAAAAATAATGAATCACATCTAGATGCTTTTCCAGTCTATATGAACGGTGTCACAGTGATTTTTAGAAAAGCATATGAATATGCCCTTCAAAAAGTTCCAGCTGAATTCACCTTCTCCAAACTACCTTTGTTTGTGATGGCAAGATCTCTGTCTCAATATTCAGCTCAGACTGTGAAGATGCAGTATTACTGCATAAACAACAGATTATTCATGCTATTCTGCAGTATATGTACTTTCTTCCCTGCAAAATACATTTAATTGAAACAATGTAATGAGGAATATTCACTCTTATAAATGATTTATTCCCTAACAGTAGAAAATTATGTAAACAGTACTTAGATTGTTTAAATGTTATTTCATTTTTCAAACAGAATTCTCCTCAAAGCTAGAACAAGATTTTTTTAGGCTTTGCTGTTATCTTCTAACAGACTAGAGGATTATCCTTCCTTACAGTTGTATAACACTGAGTTCAGATTCAGCTCTGACTTTGCTTTCTACTACCTTTCTGATAACCGTTTGCACCAAAAATCTCTCACGTTCAAGAAAGTGGGAGGTAGAAAGCTGGGAAAGCTGAGACTTGCCCCTGCACAGATGCTAACATGGCAGAGTCTCCCCAAAAGGCTGCTGAGTCTGGCTATCCAGCATTGTTAAAACATGAAGGAATAGAGGTTTGGTAATTAAACTACTGCTGCTAACTCTGTGCTTCTAGTGAAATGCAAATTGCTGTAAAAGTGAGTTCTTGTGAGCAAGCACAGTGAGAGAGGAAAAGACTGTTAATTCCACCTCTGTAGTTTCGTCATCAATCATTCTAATGTCAGTGCTGCCAACCCTCCCACTATTTTGCAAACTTTTGCTGTATTTACTGCTTTTCCTTATGACATCAGGAACAGATATCAAGATATCAAGAGAGAGTTCATGGGAACCTCAGCAGTTCTTACTTTTGTGTATTTCTTAATGGGATTTCAGGTACAGAAAAAAGCATGTAAATATGCAAAGAACAGAAGGAAAAGGAAGCATTAAAAAACTCTCATTTATTTGTCACAGTTTTAAGAATTCTATAATCTTTATCTTATCTGTTTAAAAAATCTCACTAGTTTTACATAATTCTCAGGCTATTTATCTTTCTCTTCTGTCTTTCAAGGTGTCCAAGAAGTTGACAATATTTGTAATACGACAT